CTCGCCCTGCTCGCTCTCGTAGCTGCTGCTGTAGTACTCCGAAGAGACCAGCTTAAGCGGGGGCGCCGCCGCTTTTGCCGGCGCTCGTGAGGACTCCGCACGGTCGGTGCGCGGCGCCGGCATCTCCTCCACACCGCCCACCAGCCTGCGAACAAAGGGGCTTTCTAATTCTATCTTAATAACTTATAGCTACACACGGGCACGCAGAAGACCTGTTAAAATAATAATCGCCTTGCTGGGCACTCCCTGGGCCAGCTCACCGCCGCCTGCACGCCAAGCTGCCTGGGCGCCCTGACGGGCACTCCCAGGCCAGCTCAGCGCCGACTGCACGGTGTGCCTCACTAGGGGCACGGGCCCCACCGCCGCCGCCGCCTGCACGCCGAGCTGCCCGGGCGCCCTGCTGGGCACTCCCAGGCCAGCTCAGCGCCGACTGCACGGCCTGTACCAACCTTGCCTATACTGTACGATGACAACACAAAAACATCTGCCAGACCACCCTTGAACATCTTACACTTGGAGAACCAAGCCCACCTGCCTGGTCATCCGCACCAGGAAGCCCTTCAGAGAGCCCATCGAATGGGCCCAAAAGTGCTGCGGAAGTCACACTGCATCAAGCACACTTCAAGGCACAGACCCTATAGCACTGTGTTTTTGGGAGGCTCTGGGTGTCCGAGAATCTCTGAGAAATCAATGACAAAACAAACAAAAGGCTCAGACAAGATATGCTGTTGTCAAACTCGGGTCAAAACCTAAACTGTAGGGCTGTGGGCAGTCACTCCTCTCTTTCTCTTGCAAAACGACCGGCTCTGAGAATCTGCCGAAGGCGAACCTGACAGGCTGTGACACCTCAGACTAGTAGCAGTCTGCCGGGTCAGACCCCCAACCGCTGCCTTTCCTCCATGGATTGCACAGCACTGTCACTGGGGTTGTGTTTCACGTGCTCTTCTGCAGTCTCGAAACGGGGCGCAGAGGAAGCCCATGCTAAGAGCCACGCAGCTGCCTCATCCTTGTCTCTGTGATTTTTCACAAAGGTGTATCGTCTGCAATCGGCATGCTGCAAACACTGGCAGAAAGCACGACGGTTGCCGCTCTGGTGTGTGAAATTGTCAAAATAAATGACGAGGTCTTCGAGCCCCGCCACCCGGCAGTTCACACGAGGCTCAACGGGAAGCTCCAGAGCGAGTCGCAATGGCTCTTGGGTGCTTGCTGTCGCCCTGCTGCCAGTATGACGTGGAGCAGTACGTGTTGCCTTTCGTTTCTTGTCCCGAAACTCACGGCACTGCTGCACTGTCCATTCCTGGACACCTGTCAAGTCCAGTGCTTTTAGTAGCATCTGGTAGTAGTCAGCACTGCCGCCATGACAGATCCTTCGCAGATCCCCAGGCTTCTGCCAAATGCTGTCTTCCATTGCCAAACAAACAAGGTGAGGCTCACAGGAATCCAGAAGGTTGGCAGGCAGCAGCTTCCGGCTGCCCTTGACTCTCCACTCAGGATCTTTGTCTTTGGGGGCAGGCTTCCAAGATTTGACCAGGAGTCCTCTCAACCATCCGACCTTGTTACGGCCTGCAGGGTTGCTCAGCTCTTGCTTGTGAACAGCGAAAACTTCAGGCTCTGTCAAGAGCAGCAACGTGGACAAGTTCATATCGCTACTCATAGCCAGAGATGACTCGCCGAAATCATCCCACCGAACCTGCACTACTCCCTTCTCAACCAAGCTCTGAACAGCTCGGCCGTGGTACTCTTTCAAGGCAGAAGACTCGACGAACTTATCCCCTACAGCCCTGTGTTTCAACAACTGGTTCAGCATGCTCTCCTCCTGGGCACTGGACAGCCCAGCTCCCACGTCTGGGCCATTGCCTGGCTCACGGAGATGCAACTCCTGGTCTTCGATTGCTTGCCCGGCTAGATCGGCCAGCAGGTCGTCGTCGGTCGTGAAGTGCGGCAAGGCCAGAGGCGGTTCAGACGACGTCCTTGCTGCCTGGTCCCTCAGTGGCAGCACCTCCACCTTAAAGGACTTGCAGCGAGGACCCCAAACGTGGCACAATGACGAGAAGAGCTTCAGAAAGGGCAGTGTCGCAACATGACTGAAATCCAGGGTTCGATGTTGCACATTTTTATAGGACACCACAGGCTGTGAAGCATTGCTAAGATTCACATTCAAAAAATGAACGATGTGCATGTGCCCCTTGCGGTCGTTACCAATAGCTGTCAGAGTCTGCACCTCGGTCCGTCGCTCTGGCCAAGCATCCAGCACAGAGCAAAAGACATGTTCTCTAGCAACAAGCTCTGGAATGTCCCCTGGCAACAATGAATCAGCAAAGCCCTCCAAGTCCAGAGGACCGTGTTGTTCCTGAGACTCCGGCAGCGGTTCGCCGAGCAGACTCCCCAACAGGAACTCAGGAACACTGAAAACGGTGCCAGTGGGCAGCTGGCTCTTGATGAAATCCACCATCATCCACTGTTGCTTCTTCAAGTCAGGTCTCACAGGACCCACATCTCTCAATGCCACCGCCACGGCATTCCCCAGGGCCAACCCAGAGTTCTCCTCCTCTTCCATTTCATCCAGGAAGTGGTCTGCCTCGTTGTAGCCGTAAACACGGCTCACACGATGAGCAAAGCTAGATTTATTGCAATCCTGGGCACTCATCACGTGTTCAAGCAGTTCTCTGAAAATGGTACGACGTCGCCAGTTCGAAATCAAGAAAGCACACATTTGGGTGTCGTCGATCATTTGCTGCAGCTGATCTCGCCGGGCACGCACACAGGTCATGGCAGGGCCTGCGAACCTCAAAGTCCTATGGCCTGCTATCTTAACCAAGACGTGTTGCCGTTCCGTCATCCGCTCCACATTCGTGCAAAAGGCCCTCTCCTGAACCTCCACCCAAGCCAAGGGGAAGTCTCTCAGCTCTTTGGTGTCTGGGCTGTTGGCATATGCCCACAGCTGGTCCGCCGTCTCGCCCATGGCACTTCGCTCAAAAAGCCCTGCAAGGAGAGCAGTTGTTCGCCCTTGGGACTTCAACGTCGCATACTCTGCAAAGCATTCCTGCACAATGCGCTTGCTTCCCGACAAAGAATAGCGACCAGGATCGGCGAGGTGAGCGAAAGCACCGGCCAACTTGTGCGGCACATGATCAAGGTAGGACATCTTCTGCGACAGCACAGCTGACCACTTGTCTCGAGCTTGGCCGTCCATCAGAACCATGGCGGCTGAAACCTCCTGCGGCAAATCGAGCATGGCCTCTGTGAAGCGAACACTTCCGTGACTTTGCAAAGCTTGCAACATCCGATCCTTGCACCCAGCAATGAGCACGGAAGTACGCCGACCCTTCCATGGACACTTCAGTTTGTCCCGGGCCTTGCGAGTCTTGGCTTGCTGGAGCTGTTCCTCGTGGCAGAAACAACCTTCAAGCCAATGGGCCCATATCTGCACAAACCCGGAAAACATCAATGCCCACTCTACGTAGCCCTGGTGCCATGGATCCGACAAAAGAGCACTCAGTTGGTCACCGAAACCGGTCTCCGAAGAAAGCATGTCGGGGTTCAGGTACTTCTGCAGAACCGGTCGCACGTGCACATAATGCCGCAATGTAAGATGCAAGCTCTCCCATCTCCATGATAGGAGTTGGCCGTGGTAGCCTTGCACTGTCTGCTTCTCCTGCTGAGTAGCCTCAGACATCATGCGATACAAGACTATCTCGCGATAGGAGCGATTCGTCAGCAGTTTCGAAACACTGCTCAGCTGTTTTTCGAAAACCTCCCATCGAGGGCAGCCTTTGCAAGTTTCTTCCAGGGCATTGAACATGATGTGCAGATACCCGGGGTGCCGTAAACTGTTCCAGAGAAACGATTGCTTGCTGGTTGCCAGCATCGCCTCCAAGGTGCTGCTACCCTCCTGCAAGCTGGAAGTCATCTCTTGCAAACGGGCAGTATCACCGAGAAAAGTCTGAGGCACAGCTTTCTCTGTTCCTTGGTCACTCACCCACCCCTTCACTTGTGACCTGTACAAATCCAGATGCTTCAAGGAACTCTCCAAGCAAATTGCATGCTTCAGCCTCTGGGCCTTGACGAATGTCCTAGTCTCTCCCCTCGCTAATGTCATGATGGGCATTGTTCTCTGTGTGTAGCTGAAGCCGCTGAATGGACAGTCGGGGATGACGATGGGTTGATTACGTTGCATTACTTCCTCCGTCATACACAGGTAATCATACCCGCCTTGAGGAGAAGCATCCATGCTGAGGTAGCGGGCTATGCGCTTCTGCTGAGCGAGGCCTTGTTGCATGACGCTTCGCCTGTAGAGCATGTGCAGCATATCTAGTTTAAGCATCCCGGAGCGAAGCTTGTAACGCCCGGGAATAGACGCCATCGCTGCTGCTAGCTTTGTCGGATCCGGGTCCCCTATGAAGGGGCCTAAAAACCGAGTCACTGAGTTCACAACTACTGGAAGATCTGAGCTATTCTGAAGTGCAAAAGTCAATCGGATGCTGTGGATCTCCTGTATCGGTTGCAGACTCATGCCCGCGACCCGCCCTGCTAGAGCTGCTCCAGCTTCGGCCTCAGCTTCTGCTGCCTCAACAAGAGAAGGTGACTCCTTTTCAACAGTGACATGCAGGCTGGCTGCCACAGATGCTGGGGTCCACAAGACTGGCTCGGAGGGCATGGTCTCACAGCCAAGCAACGCCATAGGCCCTGGAACTTGCACAAGCCACCCTTTCGCCGGAGTCAAGTCTGAAAACCGTTTCTCTTCGGGAAGAGATGGCATCAGTTGGCAGCCCTTCGAAGCCCAGCACAGTTGCCAAATATCCGCACTGACGTTGCTGACTTTTTGCAGTTGTCTCCCAGCAATTTGTGATCGCTCTACACACACAGGCTCCTGGAACCTGAAGACTTTGTCAAGCTTCCAGGCACAAAAAGACATGCTTTGTGTTTCCGAAACCTCACCCTTTCGTTTTCTCTGTTTCACTCTGTTGTTGAACCAAATCTGGCATTCGTGGGCATCCGTTGGCTTCATTGCGCCAACGTGCTCCACGACCCGTGTGGCCCTGCAAGCCAAACGCACTTCTGCATCGTGGCCGTCAGCCTCTGGTGTGACCACGTACAGAAGCAGCCATTTCGGCAGCTTGTGCTTCACCTTGCTACGGTCATCGTTCCGGCTGTCCCGAGAAAGCCCGAAAGTAGACGGCAGCTCTAAGACGTGGGTCATGGCATGCAACAGCACGGCAAAACGGCTTCAACAACACGTTCAAACGTCGGCCATGGTATGCAAAAGCACTGCAAAATGGCTTCAACAACACGTTCAAGGTTTAGGATTTAGGGTTTAGGGCTAGGGTATAGGGTTTAGGGTGACAATGTGTATTTTGCAGCAGTTTTACCTCTCAGGCATACATGGAACTTGCACATGAGCACCTATTCGGGCCAAAGGACCAGCAGCCAAGTGGCAAACTAGAAACAAAAATTGCCCCCCGAATAAAAACAGTGGTCTTTGAGCTTCTCAACTGCGACTCATCAACTAATTTTGACAGCCGCAGAGGCCCAGAGCCAGAAATGACAGGTTTCATCACGGATGGAACCCAAACGTGGAAATCAATGGTCTGGGTCTGAACCCACCCTGAACCCTCGGTATGGTTTCCCAACCCCGCCCCAGACGCACCGACCTTA